CTGACATTTCCTCTGATTGCAGTAGAAAACTGCCATATCATATGGACATTCAGGAGAAACCTGGACCAAATCCTACACAAGAACATAAGAATCATCACATGATCCCTCTCCTGTCATCCATTTCCAGACAAACAGAGGTGAGGGACATCATTCCTACCCATCCTGGCTAATAGCCATTGATGGACCTAACCTCCATGAATTTATCCAGCTCTTTTTTGAACCCTGTTAAAGTCCTGGTCTTCACAACATCCTCTGGCAAGGAGTTCCACAGGTTGACTATGCACTGCATGAAGAAAACCTTTTTGTTTTAAACCTGCTGCCTATTCATTTCATTTAGTGTCCCCTAGTTCTTACATTATGAGAACAAGTAAGTAACTTTCTCGTATTCACTTTTTCTACACCAGTCATGATTTTATGGACCTCTATCATATCCCCCCCTTAGTCTCCTCTTTTCTATGATGAAAAATCCCAGTCTTTTTAATCTCTCCTCATAAGGAACCCGTTCCAAACCCCTAATCATTTTGTTGCCCTTTTCTGAACCTTTTCCAATGCCATAATATCTCTTTTTTGAGACGAGGCGACCAAATCCTAACCCTATTTTGAAGCGACTAATTTCCCATTGTATAAGGATTTGTCCACACGGTAAGTGACTGCTCCACAAGCCAGGGTGTGAATCTGCAGCAAACCTGCTTGCCCTACAGCAACACCCGCTATGGACACTGCTCGAACGCTGTGGGACTGTCCCCATGAGATGCGACTGTGCGGTACGCTGTAGATTTGCATCTTGGTTTGCTGCTCTGGAACTCAGAGTGAAGATCTGGCCTTAGTAGCTACAGGAGTCTCTTGGGGGATATTCTATGGGCTGTGTACTGCAGCTCCAAGTCACTCCTCGCCCCTCCCGCCCCCGCCCTCCCCCCGTCCCTCCACTGACGCACCACATATTCCGGGTCTTCCGAGGGGTCCTTTGGCGCAACCTTAATGCCATCTACCACAGCACCAGCTGCCCTAGGAAAATCCTCCCAGATCCACGTCTTTCAGGACTTGATACTGCTCTGGCTCTTTTCCTCAACATAAAGGTGTCAGGAGTGAGGGCTCCACGTGGAGTTTTAGGGTCAAGCACAGAACCCCAAACAAAACGGATACTTAGACTAGATTTATCCATGGCTGAATTACAGTGAGGTAAATGGAGTTATACCAAGAATGAATCCGGAGTTACACCAGGAATGAATCTGGAGTTACACCAAGAATAAATCTGGCCCATTGCCTTCCACAGGGCATGGCTTGATTACAGTAGCCGTATCAACGGGAAGGTTTACATTTAGGGAGGCTGCTTACCTTGGCCTAGGAGTTACTTGCACGGTAAACAAATATTAAAGTTCCATACATCTCATTTATGGGCTTGCTTTACTCAAAGCAAACGCCTCTTTTCGGGTACACTGGCAAATCCACACGGAGCCCCATTCCATGTGCATTTACGAATTCCCAGGACTGACACGTTCCCAAGACTCCCACCACACAGGTGCTGCGTGTCCTTGAGTTTGGCCTCAGAGGCGTAAGAGGCGGCTGTCTCGTCGTTGGACTCACGACTGAACTTTACACTAGCTTTTCAGACCTAGTGCTCAGCAAGACAAGATTTTAAGCTGGCCTCATTTCTCGCTGTCCAACCTAGGTGCGCTCAGTGAGACGGTAACAGAGAGAGTCTAGCACATGGGTTCTCAAACTGGGGGGGGGCGTGAAGAAATTCCAGGGGGGGCGCGAGGCGGCTCAGCTTCCCCTTCCCCCAAGTTTTCCTGCTATTTTTGTTTTTCGGCCAAGGTCAGTTCTTTTTTATTATGGCAACAAGTTTGCTGCTATTGGGGGTGGGGGCGTGAGGATTTTTCAAAAATCGAAAAGGGAGCGTGATGCCGAAACGTTTGGGAACCACTGGTCTAGCAGAACACGTTCAGGGATAGTCTACGGGAGTGTTTAGAACCAGGGCCAAACATCTGCAATTCTAGTGGGATTCAGCGGCCAGGAGAGTGCGCCTGTTCTGTTCCCAGTGCTGCCGTTGATCTGTATGTGCTTTGGGGCAGACTCTTGCCTTGGTCCCTATTTCCACTTCCACTCCAGCCGATTTAGCTTGTAAAACCAGTGACAAGCACCCTAGGCTAGCACGTGGGCCGCAGGAGTGGCCCTACCTTGTCTGAGTGGGTTGCAAGAGTGTCGTAACCAAAACGTTCTCCTGAGGCAGGGTCGGTTTGCTAGCGGCGCTTACGTACCTAGAACGTGCGGGATGTGCTGATTGAACCCTAGCTGCGCTCTGATTGGGCACAGAAGGAGCGCACAGCTCTCCCCGTCAGTGCTGTGTGCATGTCACTTCACATCCCCGTTTTACGTGCATGTCACTTTAGTAATACTTGTCAGTGCTGTGTGCATGTCACTTCATGTCCCCGTTTTACATGCGTGTCACTTTAGTAATACTGGTAGGAAACTACGTGGACAGAAACCAGTGCAATCTGGCAACCCTGTGTGTGGTATACAAAATGTCTCATGGGCCACAGATCCTTGATGGGCAGCATGCGCTCCCCCAGGCCAACTTGCCCCTAACTGTTGTAAACTCTTCAGGACAGGAACTGCCTGCCTCTCTCCATCTGTACATCACCTCACACCACGAGGTAGCTGCAAAGAATGTGGGGAGGAGAGATCTGTGCCCACGAAATTAAACAAGAATCACCTCGACGCATATCTCCAATTGTGGGGAGGGAGGTTATGAATTTGTGTAGGTCAATGTGATTCAAAAAAATCTACTTACGATAAGAGACTTGGAGGACATAAGATTTCGGTTCACCTCTTTCTTGCTCGACTGCTCAGGCCACACAGTTTGTGAGGGATTCCAGAAAGTTCTCTCTACTGAGCACTTCTCTCCACTAGAGATGACAGGACAGTAGAAATCTGGCTACATCAGGGTCATTCTTCATCGAAGAGACTCCGACAGCATTTTACAAACCTCAGCAGAAACACACGTACGTGTATGGGGGTGTTCAAGCAATTGGGGGAGGAGGTGCAGAAAGTGTGCAAGTCACTGCGTTTGGGTAGATGTAAATAAGCACAGAGTTGAGAGCAGTGCTGCAAAGACTATTCCGGTCTTTACACAGAGATAACTAATCCACAATTGCTAGTCCAGTATAACTCCAAGTGTAGACATTCTGTTCTGGAAGAGAGTAACTTTTGTTCTGGAGTCATGTCTGCCTGGGAGGCACATAGGAAACTATATACACATTGTTCCTAACAGCAATAGCTATTTTGCTCAATAGCCCCATGTAGACAAACCCATAAGGTCAAATTCCTAACACACCACATAAAAATGCTGCCTTGTACTCCACCTGGTATCACAATGTTTTTTTTTTTTTTTTAAATACTGGTTTTAATTGGCAATAGCCACCAAAGTAGCGTATGAACATCAAACAAAAAAGACTGCCAAGTGCTAATATTTGCACTAATCCACCCAGGAACGGATCACAAAGCTAAGATGACAGCTTTTGAAACGGAGTCGAAACAAACCCAGAGCAGCAACGAAATAAAGAAAATCGGCATTTAAGGGGACAAAGGCAAACAAAAGGCAGTGATTCAATGGGAAAGGCACGGACGTCATCAGAACCTAATTCAGCGCCGTTTCATCTGGCAATTTTTTTTAAAACTAATGGTCTCCCAGGCCACAAGATCCATTTTTGCCTCTGCCACAATGGATCCTAAATGATGCGTCAGAAAAAAGTTTTAGCAGAAAGTTCCGGGAATGGTGTTTTAATAACGGAAGTAGGCAATTACATTAGCCTTGAAAATCAGATTTCCATGGGTTCCTAATTAGAGATAATTACAAGGTGGCTCTCTCACAAATGCAAGACTCCCTCGTAGCTAGTCGCTCTCTTTGCACGGGTATTACTTTCTCTTCTAAACATGGAAACCCTTTTTATAGATTCTGGCTGAGATAGTCAGAGGTGCCGAAGGGAATGAAAATCCAGTGGAAACCCTGGATGAAATACAATGGAGTTGACTGCCCTTTGACTTTCCGAGTCTCAAAGGAAGCAGTACGACAGGCTCTTAGACTGAAGTATGTAATCTGAGGGAGAAGAGAGAGTGAACTGAAGTCAATGGAAGCTTTCCCATTAACGGGATTTCACTCACACATTGAACAAGGCTGCATGACAGACGGATCATGTGTTCCTATCTTAAGCATCAAGATGTAACTTTGTTGGCATTTTACTGCTATTCTTCCTCCAGGAAATCTTGTACTGTATGACAAGCATAGAGCCCTGTACAGTCTGCTCACTTAAAATATCATGGCTCTGCTTTTACAACAGAATATTTTGTTCCCCTCCTCCCCTTCCTTAGCAGGGAGAGTATCAATGGAAAAACCAAGGTGCCTTCATAGTTACTAAAGCACAAATATAAGCACGCAGTGTTCGATTTTATTCTCCCTTCACAGCTGGCCCACAGCCCATTACAGTGTAACCACCAAAATGATAGATTTTAAATACAAGAAAAAGGACAATTGGACAGTGGAGAACAAAAATGAAAAAAAACCCCAACACTTCAGCCTTTATGAGCAAAAGCTGTGCACATGAATTTCTTAAGGAGTAGCTAATGCTATGACTGCAGCTCTTTGAAACTAGCCTGCATTTTTCTGTGTTTCTTATGTTTACCTAAGTTGGTTGTACAATTGTGAATAATCTGGAAAGAAGAGAGGGTTTTTTCCTTCTTTATCCCTTCTAGGGATAGTAAGTGTGTCCAGCGATATTTAGTCCACTAACAAACATTTTTTTTTATTCTCATTAGTTTAATTCTACAGCCATAATGCCTATTCTGCTCTTTGTTATTACGAATGGCACATCAGGGTGAGAACATGGCCATTTTATTCACCGCTTCTAGGTCTTAGGCAGATAGCCGACACACAGCTGGAGAGTACCTGCTAGGATCAACTAACTTCAGAAAAGGTAGAGGGAAAAGGTTAGAACATCACTTACTTTTTACTTTTCAGGCAATTGTAGAATCCAGCCATGGTCCTGCACGTGAGAGCTGTTTAATTCATACTCACGAGAGGATGCCAGCACAAAAGTTCTGCAGCTTTGAATCCTGCTCCCCAAGTGCCCACACGCATGCACAAGAAAGCCAGCATGCCGATGCAATTACTAGCCAGATAAAGTTCCTGATCTGAGGCCCACAGTCTCTGCTGAACTGGGTCCAACGAGGGCTGTGCTTGTTCCATAAATGGTTATGAAATGTTAACTCCCCCTTTTCCTGTCTCTCTCCAGTGCTTGGTAACCACAGCATCCTAAAGTGCAAAATACCATATGTTGTTTGACTGTCTCCCGACAGAGCTAATGAGGGGCTCCGTTGTAATTAGGATGGGAGGAAGCCCTGAGGAGATAACAGTGGTTTTTATCAGAGAAAAGCCACCAGAAAACAGCATCAACAGCTTTGAAAGGGCCATTTTTGGGTGGCTGTTTTTAAAACAGAAAAGGAAAAAAATATGTGGCACTTTAAAGACTGACAAAATAGTTTACTAGGTGATGAGCGTTTGTGGGGCAGACCCACTTCTTCAGCTCATATTCTGAAAGTGAATTGGCAGGACCATTATCAGGGCTTGCCAGTTGCGTAGTTCAGCACGCTGTGCACGCACAGGCTGATCGTGCTGCGGCGCCATGCCAGGCTACAATCTACTCGCCCAGGGTGAGCAGATTACCTAAATTGTCGAGCCCTGACCATTATATAACAAAGGAATACAATGAGGAAAGTAAATACAATGAAGAAAGATCTTGGTTTTACCAAGATCAGACTAACACAGCTACCTCCCTAATATTTAAAAAAAGAAAGCCACTCTCTGGCAGTTAAGAAGTGCAGGGGATGGTTTCAGACGTGCCATCAATACTGCAAAAATAGTCATACTGCTGCCTCAGTATAAAACATTTCTATTTCAACAAGCTGCTTCTCACACTGCCATCATGATGAGACCCCATGCAACAACTGGGAATTCACCCAAAACGTTTACTTTTGCATGGTAACAATTTGCTTGAAGTTTAAAGGAGGGATGTCGGATATTGGTTAATTGAATAGTCGTGTAATCATGTGAATTCTTATCGGTTACACGGTTATTCGATAGTCTCTGGGGGCAGGGCCGGCAACTCGTGTACTCCAGCCCCACTCCCGGGGAGCGTCTTGCTGCCTCATGCTGCTGCCTCTGTATAAGAGGCAGCAACACAGGGTGCCAGATAGGAGCTGTTCCTCGTGGGGAGACAGTATAAAAACCAGCTACCCACACTGACCATCTGCCTGCCACCCCTGATACAGAGGCAGAAGTGCAGGGTGGCAGCAGCCCCCATCCACAC